AAAACTATATACAAAATAAAATTAAAATTAAAAAATAAAAAAAAAAACAAAAAAAAAAACAAAGAGGAGTCACAGACTCCTTCTGCAAATGATGTGGGATCATTTGATCACATATTGAAAATGTTTGAAAAGAGAAAGCTCATTTATATAAGAGGAGCAAAACTCCTCTTACAAACATAATTACTTGCACATCAATGTGACCTAAGTATCGAGAAGTCAAAATGTTCTTATTTAAGAAGTTTTAGCGTTGTCTTCTTATTTTAGTTTTTATTATTTTATTAATTAATTAATTTATTAATTATTTATTTATTTATTATTAGTGGGGTTTGAAAAGATTAACCCAAAATGTATGTGTTGTTTTAGTTTTTAGCAATTTGAAGCAAATTGCTAAGTTATTAAATAATATTTTGGTTTTTCGATTAAATTTAAAATATTAAACAGACGAATTTCTTAAAATTTTGGTGAATTTGCCAAATAATCAAATTACAACAACAACAACAACAACAACAACAACAACAACAATAATAATAATAATAATAATAATAATAATAATAATAATAATAATAATAATAATAATAATAATAATAATAATAATAATAATAATCAAAACAAAACTATATACAAAATAAAATTAAAATTAACAAAAAAAAAAAAAAAAAAAAAAAAAAAAAAAAAAAAAAAAACAAAGGGGAGCCACATGCTCCATTTGTAAATGATGTTGGTTCATTTTCATCCCAAATTGAAAATGTTTGAAAAGATGAGCTCTAGAGCTCCTTTATATTAAGAGGTACAAACATAATTGTTTGCCCATCGATATGACGAGTATTGAGAAGTCAAAAGGTTCTTATTTAAGAAACATTAGCTTTGTCTTATTATTTTAGTTTTATTTATTTATTATTGGGGATTAGGAAAGATTAACCCAAAATGTATGTGTTGTTTTAGTTTTTAACAGTTTGGAGCAAATTACTTAGTTATTAAATAATATTTTTGGTGTTTTGATTAAAGATAAATTGTTAAAATGGGGAATTTGTCAATAATAATAATAATAATAATAATAATAATAATAATAATAATAATAATAATAATAATAATAATAATAATAATAATAATAATAATAATAATAATAATAATAATAATAATAATTCAAACAAAACGATATACAAAATAAAATTAAATTTTTTAAAAAAAATTTCAAGATGACAAAAGAGAGTCACGGGCTCCCTTTGTAAATGATGTGGGATCATTTTAATCTCACATTGAAAATGTTTGGAAAGAGGAGCAATGCTCCCCTTACAAACATAATTGCTTGCCCATCAATGTAGGCAAGTAACTTGGAGGGTGTGATTGAGTGTAAGGGACTCATCCATCCTTAACCAAATGTCAAGGGTTCAATCCTTGGATTGGGAATGGAGCAGTCTTAAATCTCTAAGCCAGCTGTCTCACCCAAAAGAGGTGCTTGCAATTTAGCGGGGGATTAGTCACTGTGTCCGACGGTGAAAATCCTGGGTTTACCAAAAAAAAAAATCAATATGGGCAAGTATTGAGAAGTCCAAAGTCTTTTTTTTTTTTTTTTTTTTTTTTTTTTTTTTTTTTTTTGTGTCGGTGTGTGTGGTTAGAAGTAAAGGAAATATTTCAATAATAATATTTTACATCATCAAATAATAAAGACATATTTGGGCTCAACCCTTTTTGATGTAAAAAAAAAAAAAAAAGACATATTTTAAAAAATAGTAAAGATAAATTAAAAATGGAACGAAAATATTTCATTAATAATATTCTACATCATCAAATTAAAATGGAACAAAAATTAGGTAAAAATATCATTGCATCTAGATTCTAATTGACTAATTGATCGGAAATAAAAAAAATAATAATAATTGACTGAAAATGAATATAATATTACTAATTAACTGAAAATTTTAAAGGAAATGAATATTAATAATTGAGTGCAAATAAAAAATGATCTATAATTGACTAAAAAAAATGGTAAGATCATTGCATTTTAATTAAAAATGGAATGGAAATTAAAAATTGGAGGAAAATATTCCAATAATAATATTCTACATTATCAATAGTAAATGCATATTTTAAACAACAGTAAAAGTAAATTAAAAATGAAACAGAAATATTTCAATAATAATATCTCCATCTTCAATTAAAAATGGAACGAAAGTTAGGTAAAAATATCACTGCATTTGATATTCTAATTGACTGAAAATAAAAAAGAATAATTGGTTGAAAATGAATCTGATATTACGAATTGACTGAAAATATAAAAGGATAACTAATTGAGTGATATTCTACCATTATATATTTTCACCAAAGTAACCCATCCTGATGGAGAAGATGTTAGTTCTAGACGAAGATGAACAAGATTGTATTCTCACTACCAATGTCGTCTGAGGTTTCAATAATGTGTAAATATAATCGGTGATATTAATTTTTTTTAAATGAAAAAATTGATATATATCTAGACAAAAAAATATATCTTTCATACAAATGAATAAGGATAGCAATTCATTTCTATAACTGAGTTGTTTGAGAACGAGCACATTTGCCTAATGTATGAAAATACTAAACAATGATAAATAAAATCTTCAAAATTATAGGACCGCATCCGTACATCTAGACATTAGCTATTAATTTGAGCAATTATTTGCACAAATTCAAGCAATGATAACATCAAAATATATAAACGATTCAAATCATATCTTTAATTTCATTATATAATTCTTATATAATATTTAATGTTTTAATTTAAATAATTACATATCGATTCATATATTTTTAATATATTACAACAAATCCATTCCGTGCATCGCACGGGTGCAAATACTAGTATATCAAATACAAAGAGAGAGTCAATCCTAAATATTAGGAAGGAAATTTAAGGGATGAATTTTTTCTAATTTTAGTTTTACACATATATTTTACATAGGGGCAATTCCTAACTAAATTGGTTAGACAATAAGCCCAATAACCAAAAGGATCAAAATTTTACTTCTCGTGAGAGTTGTCTGTCTATTGATACTCTAATTGCAACTACACAAATACGTATAGACAAGTGCACCTACCGTTCAAAGTATAGAGGGTGGAGTAACAAGTATTGTATCCACAAGGACTACGAATACTAGAACAATCCGTTATTTTATTATGTAGCCTAAGAGTTGCAGAGAAGAATTAAGAGAAACTGAAAATGAATAAATAATCAACAAACAAAACCAGGGAAAACGTAGGGAATCAACTAGTGAGAAGATGGTACTTGGATCTATGGATCTGCTATGATATCATTGACCACAACAGATACATGCCAATAATAATTATGCATTCCAAAGACCGTGAGATATCCTATTTCTTGCTAATATCTTTCTCAAGAGTATTAACAATTAATCACTAGGTTGATTAATTAGAATCCTTTATAAATCAAAACCTTCCTAAGAATTGCATTAACGTTTTGTGAGTTTTACTAAACGATTTGACTCAAACACGGAGGATTAATGACATCTTTCCTCTAGGTTTGCAATCCACTCCTTCCAATTATGTAGGATCTACACTCACTAATGATATCTCTGTCGCAAAGTTCATACACTAATCAAGAATTCAATACCCTAGCAATTATTGACTCTAACAATAAAGAAACACAATTGAATCAATGGAAAAACAATTATAAATTAGCAAGAAATTAACAACCAAGCACGATAAGTATCATCTTAAGGTTCACCATAAATTCAAGTGCTACAACGTTGAGCCTCTAAACATGGAGACAACCACAAAATAAATTAAAGAAATGATAAGAAAGTTGTAAAACATAGAAAAACCCACAAAATAAATTAAAGAAATGATAAGAAAGTTGTAAAACATAGAAAAACCCCTTATCCGTTAAAAAATCTTATTTCCATGCCTTCCTAAGATCTAAGACTGCTTTCCCAAGAGTGTCTTTTGATCCCTAAGAGTGTCTTGAAATGTTTCTTGAAGCCTAGGGTCGAAAAGTCCTCAAAAATATATAAATTTTGAGTTACATACCATTTTTTCATGACTGACGCAGCCTGTGACACAACCTTGACACGACCGTGTTCTTTATTGCTTAATAAAGTTACCTAGGTGTCGCAAACTCGCGGGGTTGCATTGCTTGGGCATGAAATATTCTTCTTGATTTTTCTGTTGATTCGTCCTGAATCTCTTAAAACTCTGAATATGAAAGTTGTAGGGGAGTTACTTGGCTTTCATTTGACACTTCAATCACCCCAATTGGGCTTGTATGACAGAGTTGTGGTCAAAATCCTCCTAACTCTTTGTAGAGTGTCATGTTTTATTAATTTTGCCCTGAAATTCTTGAAAATCATATGTTAATTAACTAAACACCAAATTCTATCAAGATGAACAGTGAATAGGCCAAATTGATAAGAAATAGCTATGAAAAGTAAGTGCATTTGAGCACTTATCATGTATTGAGCTTCTTGATTTGAGTATGTCAACTATAGATTGTCACCTATAAGTGTTAGTCCACTTTTAGTCATTTTTTATCAGAACATCCTCATTTGATCTTAGTATTATTGTGACATGACTATTTTCATCCTCCATCAACAAAATCATTAAAATACAAGGATAAGGATCCGAGAGACGTCTCACACAAGTTTTTGCACATAAAATCTTTACCACAATCCTAAGGAACACAAGGCATCGAAATATTCTCATCTTTTATAATGTGTTTACAGAGAATAAACATGCACCTTACAGCGGATTACTAATTAAACGCTTTGGTATTTTTCATCAATATAGCTTAAGGAGGAAGGTAGAGATGGAGAAAAAGAGAAACCAAAAGATAAGAAGGTGCGGACAACCTAGGTAAGCTAATAATAATCAAATTCAAAATTCATTATTAGGTTTAGTCTGCGTCAAAGTCCTAGAAAAGGACAGCCTTGGCTGAAACCCATGAAAGTTACTTGTCTGCAAAACCTAAAATGGAAATCCCCCTTTGTTATTATGACTTCCTCTACTCCTCCATCTCTATCCAAACAAACCCTATTCCCAAACCAATTCAAGTCTCTTCTTCTCATTCCTTAGAGATCTATCTCAGAGTCATAGCAGCTGGGGAAAAATGGGGAGAGGAAGGATTGAGATAAAGAGGATAGAGAACTCAAGTAACAGGCAGGTGACTTTCTCCAAGAGGAGAAATGGGATGCTCAAGAAAGCTAAGGAGATCAGCGTTCTGTGCGATGCACGCGTCTCGGTCATCATCTTCGGCAGCTCCGGCAAGATGCATGAGTTCTCCAGCTCCTCGTATGTTTTTTTTTTTCTTAAAAAAAACATCTCTTTTGCTTATTATTCTTCCTTTTTTTTTCTTAAAGAAACTGTAATTGTTATTGTTTCTTGTTTGCAATTGAAGGCTTGTGGATATTCTGGATCAATACCACAAACTCACTGGGAAAAGATTGTGGGATGCCAAGCATGAGGTTCAATTCTTTCTCAAAACCCCTTTCTTTAACTCCATTCAAGAATCAATTAAATGAAAAAGAAACCCTTTTTTTTGGTCTGGGTTTCTTTTGGATGATGAGGGAAACTTCACAACCCTTTCGGGTGTAGGTAAATCGCGAGAAGTAAACCAGCATAGGTTTCTCATAGTTGACCGGTTCAAACCAAGGGGACAAAGATCTCGTGATCTTGTGGTTACAAGTATAGATCTCTTGCCATCTTGGCTGGGATTATCCCGGGTTGGGTTTTGTGTTTGCTAAAAGTGTGTTAAGAAGACTGGAGTATGAAATCTATGAGCAGATCTAGAAATGGCATGTGAATTCAAAGAGGGGTTTGTGCAAGAACTATGGGATAAAAGCAAGGGTTTTTTGCTAGAAACATGTTAAGCAAGAATTGTATGAGGAGATCTAGAAATAGGATGCACTTTCCCTGTGATATCTCAGCTCTCTAGACCCTATATTCTCTCACCAGATCAGATGATAGTCAGATCTATCTCTCTCTACAAAAGAAATGCTAATAAGCTAGGATGATGTTACATCAAAATGACAGATCTGGTTGAGTTGAAGAAATGGGTATTCATGTTATTCCCTTTTTCCCTTTATTTGCAAAATATTGATGTATAACTATGTGTCTTTTCAGCCTGGTTTTGTTTTCTTTTTTTTGTTTTTTTTTTAAAGTACCATTTGACAAGATCCATTGATGCCATGAACTGCCTTTTACCTGCAGGTCCTAAGTTTGTAAAGGTTGCTAATTAACCTAGAGACACAAACTTGTAACATGCAGATAGGAAAGAAAAAGAATCCCATTAAAACATCAATTTTCTCTGAAGTTTTTGCATCAAATCACTGTTGAAAAATTTGGAATTTCCAACTTAACCAGCTGGGTGTCCAGTCAGAAAAATTGAAAAAAATTCTAAATGATGTTGTCTTAAATGATGTTGTTTGTGATATGTGTCAAAATGTGTCATCATTGCTTTGACTAATTTTACTATAAATTAATCAAATAAAATTATCATAAAAGATTAATGTTTACCCTTTTCTCCCCCTTCAATCTTTCTTAATCTTGATTTAATAATGTTCCTGTTTTCTATTGGAATACAATAGAATTTGGAGAATGAAATCAACAGAATCAAGAAAGAGAATGACAACATGCAGATTGAGCTGAGGTGAAACTACTTATAATAAGCAATCCCATGCATTCTTATTATTGATTTGAAACCTTAAAATCGCAGAAAAATGAGATTTATCTGATGTTGTTTGAGCATATATATATATGGATGTTTTAGGCACCTGAAGGGAGAAGATATTTCATCTCTGAACTACAGAGAGCTTATGATCTTGGAGGATGCCCTTCAAAATGGGCTGAGGAGCATCTCTGAGAAACAGGCAATAATTAAGTTTTTTCTGATTTTCTGTGATAATTAATTTACCATAATAAAATTATTATTCTGAATTTCCTATTTAATCTTGGTTTCTCCTTTCTTGTTGTCACAGATGGAAGTCTGGAGGAACCTTACAAAACGAGTAAGCAAAAACCAATATTAATTATTATTCATGTTCTTCTGACCATCTTTTTTTTTTTTTTTTTGTCATTGTGAGATGAAGAGTGGCTTGTAACTTTGTTTAGTTTGATTTGTGCTAAAAGTGCTATATTTTTTTGTTTATAATGCTGGAAAGAAGTATGATCAGAGTCAAGGTGTGGCAGAAGAGAATGAACAACTTAGTTACCGCTTGGTAAGTGTTCTTCTAATCTGTTTATTATCACTGCTTCAATTTAGTCTATTTTATTTATTTATTTGTGTTATGTTGTCCATAAATTATCATATTTATAATTTCAAATATCAAATCAAAATTTCCTTAGCTAATACTTTCTTAGGGCCCGGGTTTTTTTGTTGGAGACTTTCGCACCCTACTGTTGATTTTAATACTTATTATCATGTTTGTTTGTCTAGTTTTCTTATCCGGATCAAATCATTTAATAATTAAAAAACTCATTACCCTTTTACTCCTTTACTTTTGAACAATGGAATAAAAAATAAAGGAGAAAAAAATAAAAATAAAAAGGTCATTATACATGTATTAAATATGATATATATATATATATATATATATATATATATATATATATATATATATATATAATAAAAAGGTCATTATACATACATTAAATATGATATACGTGTGTGTGCGCGGGCGGGGGCATATTGTATTATATAACTTTTTATATTTTTATTTATTTTTTATTTTAATTAGTTTAATTATTTATTTTGATTCCATTTCCTATTTATTATCAAACAAATTGATTCATTATACCTAAATTCATTACCACTACCAAATATTTGATTCTCATTACCATTCAGATTCTAATGTTTAACCAACCACACCCTTATAAATTTTAAATTATGATGAGTTCATAGTTTTTTAAAACATAACTTTTTAGCCATTAAAAAAATATATATATAAATTTATCTGGAAAGGGGTGATCAGAGTGGGTATTGTGTTGGATAGAGGCAGTAAGGACAAACTCCATCATCATATAGTTAGAGGATTGTTAGGTGAAAAGCAGTAAAGGGTAAAATCCAGCCCCCTGACTTTTAAAAATGTGTGACGGTATAAAAAAAAATATAGTCAGACATTCTTTGCTAGTTATAACTTTTGGCCTAGTTGTAAGCGCTTGATCCTAAACATGGGACATGACTCTCGTTGTTTAATTTGGATTTAGCGGCAACTGGAGATAGCAGCGATGAACCGAAACTTGGGAGAGATGGGGGAAGTGTTCAACCAGAGAGAGAGCAACGACTATGAATCTCAGATGCCATTCACCTTCAGTGTGCAGCCAATGCAGCCCAATCTTCAAGACAGATAAATATAATATATATGAATGAACTGAACTGCAGGTTATGCATGCATGCATGCATGGTGCCATTATCATTATCAGTTATTACTGCTGGCACCTTAACTATCTCTAATGATGTTTTTAGTTTCCATGTATCAGTGTTCTGTTGTATTATAAGACTTGTTGTTCTTGTTCGTGATTATCATGTGTTTTGTACTGTCACTTTTGTTTGAAGTACGTACTGGCCGGCTAAGCTTATTAATCGTATATGTTGGGATTATATGTATTATTATTGTTGAAATGTCATTGTTAGTACTTTTAGTGTTATATAGTTTCATCAGATTGTATTTGATTAGATCATTCATCTTAAGCAGTTCGCGTGATCTGGGTGATTTATTACCGTCTTCATTCTCTTTAGTTGGAAGAAAGGTTATAGAGATAATGTTTTGTTATACGTTGTCATTGTAAACATTTTATAGGAGAAATATGCATGTCCATGATCATGGTCACAGTGGTGTGTGGACCATAACAAGAAATATATTCTTAATATATTAAATGTACATTATTTATGTACTGAATATATATTATACAATATAATGTACACTCAGTATACAAATAATGTACATCTCTGAATACAATGTACATTTTTAATATATTAAAAGTATTTTATTTTTGTATTGAATGTACTTTACTTTACAGTTTACAAAATATGGTCTACATGAAAGATTGATAGTGCAAACAAGTTCATGTTCATCACGAAGCTAACTATTGTATCAACTAACGGATCGGAATGACTTCATTTGGTCAGGATTTAGAGATTGGGTGGTTACACGACTTCTCCAAACCTCTACCTAGAGTTAGACCTCCCTTGAACTTTGTAGGTATTGCTTGGCCATCATATAAAGGAAAATGGCACTTTTTCTCCTATATTATTTACTTATAGCACATTTTTCCTCTGCATTGTTTATGTAATCATTTTATCCCCCTCAATTGTTTTAAAGTTATTATTTTTTTCCTTCTCCGTTAAATAAATGTTTAGATTGTGAAAAATGAAGATAAAAATGACATTTCACTTCTTATTATTATTATTATTATTATTATTATTATTATTATTATTATTATTATTATTATTTTATTACGTGAACATATTTGCGGTACGTGAACGACCCCTCCTTCTTCTATAATAATAATAATATTATTAATATTAATATTAATAATAAGTGAAACACCATTTTTCCCTCATTTTTAATAACCTAAACATTTATTTAATGGTGAGGGGAAGAAATAGCCACTTTAGAAACAATTGAGGGGGATAAAGTGATTACATAAACAACACATAGATAAAATGTGCTATAAATAAACAACATAGGGGGAAAATGTGTCATTTTCCCTATAAGTAATATCTAGCTAGTTTCTTAGTTGTTTTAATCTTCATAGTATCAAAAAAAAAAAAAAAAAAAAAAAAAAAAGAAGAAGTTATCAATAGTATAAAATTCAATAATGACATATCATCAAGGCAACGCTAAGAATTAATTTCATTTTTTATCCCACGACTTTTGAGATCTTATTATTTTTTGTGCACAATTTTAAATTTTTTTAATTTTGGTTTCTAACTTTGTTATTTTTATCAGTTTTAGTCCTTCTGGCCAAATTGACGATGAAATATTGCCAAATTTTATATTTTATAGAGGCAAAATCTTCATCCCAAGAAAAGATCTTGAAAAAAGGTACAAATAGGTCATTGAACTATTTGAGGGATAGTAATTAAGCCACCAAACTCGAATAACCTCCAAATTGATCAATGAACCTGCAAAAAAAAGTGCAATTAGCATTTTTAGCAGGTTACCACAAGTTTGTGATTATTAGGATACCATGTGTATTTTTTATTTTATTTTATTTATTTATTTATTTAGTTTTATTATTACTATTATTATTATTATTATTATTATTATTATTATTATTATTATTATTATTATTATTATTATTATTAGAGAAAATTACATTTTTAGTCCCGTGACTATTGTGGTCTTGTTAATTTCAGTACTCGATTTTAAAAACTAACAATTTAGTCTCGTAACTATGTAATTTTTAACACATTTGATCCTCCCGGCTAAATCACAGGCTAAATGTTGCCGAAAAACGTAAATTTTTTTAAATTGTTTATTCATAGAGACAAAATGGTAATTTCATAGCAGTTTCTTCTTCTTCCTCCACCAGCTGGCCGGAATTGTTTACGTGACATTAAAGTTTAAATTGAACATTGCTCCATCAGATTATAGCTTCATTTTCTGATTTGATTTTGTTTCTGCTAACTTTGTCTACTATGTGATTTTGCAACTCAATCTTCAATATACAAAGTTGTATACTGGGTCTATATATCTCCACCCTCACCCCCCGTTCCTCTCCTAAAATCAATAGTGGGTTTTAATTTTCTTCACCTTCGCCTTCTCTGTTTGGGCATTTAATTTTCTTCACCTCCGCCGTGGGGCTACTATGAACCGGAAACTGGCACGTTTGCCAGGAGGCCGCATTGGCAATTTATATCATGCGCCCAGGCATAAAACGCGCGTGTTTCATGCTGACGTCATGCTGATGTCACTCCATTCGTCCGAACATATCAAACCTTATTATGTGTATTCAGTTAAAATTTTATGTGTATTGTGTTATGAGCTTATGTGTATTATGTTAACCAAATCCATTATGTGTATTCAGTTAAATGTTTATGTGTATTGTGTTATGAGTTTATGTGTATTATGTATTATGTTAGATTATGTGTATTCTGTTATGAGTTTATGTGTATTTTGTTATGAGTTTATGTGTATTCGAAACAGGAGATTTTTTTTAACAACTTAACAAAATGACGTCGTTTTGGGAGGCGCGGAGCGCACAGTACTATGTGCGCCCTGGTGCACGGTATAACAATTGGTAATTTTCTTCACCTCCGCAAGAATCCAACGAGGCGGCAGGTGTTGATCTGCCTTTTTCAACAGGAATCATTAATTAATACACCTAATCTAATCTGAATCTATCTTGCATTAATTAGTTAATCAAATTTGGATTTAGAAGAAAAAACATAAACCGTAAGGGCTTTCACGGAATGTTAAATTAACTTAGAGAATATTAAATTAGTGAGAATGTTAGATTATGTATTTGGTTTAAAACTAAAATATGTAAATAAGATAATGGTAATAAGATAAATTGATTAAAACGTCCAAAGCCCAACATTAGTAATAAGACAATGGAATGTGAGATTATTAAGAAATTTGAGGGTATCTCACATTTCCTTCCAATAGCTAAAAATTTAATATGGAGGTTATCTGACATTTCCTAGAAAAGTTGCATAACCTGAACTAAACATGAGAATCTTATATTACCAAACAAATATATAACCTTGGTTATCTTATATAACCTGAACCAAACGCCCCCTTAATGTCCAATAAACACTAATTCACTAAACTAAATGTACATCTTTAGTAGGTTCATAATGTTCCTCCTATATGTTCATAAAAATAAAGTCTAATGAATATAAACATTACACTATAGACACGTAAAGTTTATAGCTAGGTTCATATTGATCCTTATAATGTTCTTTCTATATATTCATAAAAACAAAGTTTAATGTACATAAGCATTATATTATAAACGCATAATGTTTAATAACATCTTGTATTATGTTCATAATATTTGTTCTATATGTCTGATAGTGTTAATTACCACGTGGTGCGGTAATTAAAGAATACTCGACCAATTAAAGCAAATAAAGGTTTTATTGATCAAGGTGAAGGCCCTAAGTACAATCTAAATGGCTGTTCCGAGTACCGACTGACTGCGGTCGGGATGCTCTGATAACAACCTATCGATCGTCTAAAAGTCCTCCACACTGTTGCCATTGCGGGTATTTATAGCCACGAGGCCGGAGACACAAATCCGGCCGTTCGGCATGTCACCCACGTAGCAACCACGTGTCGTCCTCCCGGGTGCCCTGCCTGTCAGCACGTAGCGCTGCCACGTGTCTCTTCTCAGCTCTCTCGCCAGGCTACGGCTCGGTGGTTGACGACGTCGGTCGGGAACCGACCGAGTTCTTCTAAGAAATCCGACCTGTAACCTGCACAAACAAGAACAAAAGGACGAAGGAATGTCGGTCGGGGTATTCCCTACCAAGAGCCCCCCAGCCCGTGCATTTTTGATCGCTCGGGAAAAAACGGGACGGGATGAAGAAGCCCAACCGTCCGCCGCCAAACCGACCGGTCAGTTGTCATTCCCTCGCACCACGTGTCGACGACTGCCGGCCTCTGCGACCACAACGGTCACCTCGGAGTCTGGAGCGGTCACGTCACGCAAGTGGATTGGTTTCCCGCCCAAATACTCTCCTATAAATAGGCCTTCAAGGACTTCATTTGAACTTTTCCCAATCTTCCTGAATTGGTCGGTACACTCAGAGCGTCCCGAGCGAGGCATTTCAGCAGATCGGTCAAGCAACTAACTTTCAAGCTTTAAAGTACCTTCACTCGGTAAGTTTTTTGATCCTTAGCTTTTATTTCTTGCTTTACGTTTCCGCATAGCCAGTTGTAGGCGGTAACTGACCTCGACCCAAACATCCCGAGCCCCAAACTAATCCCGATCGGCCTTTAGGTAGAAAAAATGTCAGACTCAGACAGCCAGAACGTGTCGATCGCGGACTATGATGAAGGGGTCGAACAGATCAGCGAAGAGGTGGACATAATGTCCTACTCACCAGAGGTCGTTCAACGACCACAAAAATCCCCCAAGCGAGCCCCCGAGTGACGAAGGTCGTCGAGCTAATCTGGGACGTCAAGATCCAGCTCGAGCGGATCAGGGAGCTCGAGCAGAGAGAGCGGGGAGACGTCAACGAGCGGGCAAGATCTCCCGACCGAAGGCGTTCGGGACACGCCGACTAGGGTTATTGGGGATTACCCTCAAGCCGAGCCTCAAGAAGACGATCGGGAAAACGCTGCAGAGCTGGTCGAGGAGGACCCGGCCGAGCTGGCAGTACCGGCCGCAAACGGATTTGAGTTCTTGAACAGCGAGAACGTCGAACGTCAAATGAGCAAGCTGACCAAAGGAGAGGCGGCCAGGATCGCCGCAAGACTCAGCAGTCGGGTCGAGTTCGAAACCAGTCGCCGGCTTGGGAACATCATCGAGCGCCATCGGGGAAAGTAGATCGGGATGCACTATGACTCTCTGATGGCCCCAATCACTTTCCCCTTCACAGCTCTCCTAACAGCGTTCCTAGGCTACTATCAAGTCGTCCCGGCCCAAATTTGCCCGAACGCTCATAGA